GAATTAAAATCCAGACATTTTGGTGCCAGAACCTGCCTAAAAAGAGAGACAGGTATAGAGCAGAGTGCTGTTAGGCTCCTTATGTGATTACAGAGTTTGGTCATTCTCAATGCGTCCTCTCCGTTGCCTCTTTAAAGTCCCAATTCAAGACAAGACAGTACTTTGGAGTGAAGGGAATCCAAATTACAATTATCTTCAAGATTCTCTTCTCCAGAGTGATCACAGGTGGGCAGTAGCCTCCAACCATTCACAAATGGTATGAATAAGCACAGCCCCTGTCCCTGATACTGTTATCAGTGGAGGATGTCCAGGTTCTTGGCGTCTTTAACAAAGAATTGGACAAAATGCACAAACAAAGCAAGGAAAGAATGAAGCAACAAAAGCAGAGATTTATTGAACATGAAAGTACACTCCACAGTGTGGGAGTGGGCCCAAGCACAGAGGCTCAAGGGCCCTGTTACAAAATTTTGGGGGGTTTAAATGCCCTTTAGAGGTTTCCATTCGTTACTTGGTGTTAGCCCTATGTAAATGAAGAGGATGAAGTAAAGTTACAAAGTCATTTACTCAGCATATGCCCTGTGTAACTGGAGAGGATATTTCCTGTCATAGCTGAAGTGTGAATCGCCCTATGTTCCCTGCCTCCAGACCCTATTTTCCTGCCTCAGATACCTTCCTCTTCTAATTAGTTAAAAATACCTAAATTTATTTTATCAGGCCCCAGGATTTAATACATATGTGTGTGTGTATATATATGTATGTGTGTATATACGTGTGTGTGTGTGTATATATATATATTTTTTTTTTCAAAAACACTCATAGAAAGTTCTTCTAAATATAGGATTTAAGTTTTGAAAATAATCAAAGCCGACTAGCACAAATTGCACTATGGACTTCCCCAATATATGAAATTGAATTTTTAAAAAGTCAACAAAATCAGTCCTGTAGGAAAATAAGGGAAGGGGCATTCATAAAAATCGTGAAGCTGTATCAATCAGTGACATAGGATCAATGTGCTCTGCATGGAGAATAGTTGAGTGCAATAGGTTCAGTATAATGCAAATTACTTTTGTGAGCACCACCTGACTTCCTTCTTTCCTCCCAGAAGCTGTGCTGTAAGTCACTGCCCTACTCCCCCAAACCTGGTACTCGCAGTATTTGAGGTTCATAAAGAATAAGGCCCTGAGCCTCTAAACCAACCGCCCTGATTATTTCTACAAGTAAGCATTCATTTAGTGTCCTCCAAAAGTAGTATGTAATAATATAGTCTGGGCAAAATTGTATTTTAAATGATCTCTGAATGACCTCCTAATCTAAATTATTCAAACAAGGCAAAACCTTGAGGGGCATGTGGAAAAGTGTTATAGAAATAGGGAACTATAATGGCAAAAAAGTAAGAAGTTGTCAAGAAGCACTTTTAACATTAGTTTAATTACCATACCAAAAAATCCAGAGTTATAGCAAAGCTCAAAAACCAGATATTCAGTCCACGTGAAATGCATTAATGTTCAGATTTCATTCTCTGATTGAAATATGGATGTTTTAAAGAAATGTAAAGCCTATGTAGCTCCAATTTGCTCTAAGGTATCTATAGCTCTCCCGTATGAAATTTTCACTCAAGCAACTTAATTTCCAAATAATTTCATCCAGCATTTGAGTATGAGCTTATAAGGTGTTGCACAGACTATACGTTTTAGTGGTTAATAAGAAAGCCTTCAGAATTTATTTTCTGAGTACAAATAAAGATAAAAGGAATACTATACTATTAAGTAACAATAACAGCAATTTAAAATACTTTTGAGAAAAGTGCATTTTAGAATTAAATATTCAAGTGTTTAAAATCAAGCAAGTGCGAAGATTTGGCACAGACTTTTGGCAGTGATTTGATGTTCAGTGTTATTAAAATGCCTTCAGTCCTCGTATGAACCTCAGTCTGTTCCAAGCGACAGGCTTCATCCCTAAATTTAAAGTGGAAAGAATGGGTCTTAGGCTGGACTAAACATTAGAGCAAGAGAGAAAAGTAATTAAATTAACAACATGAAAAATAGAATAAAATATCGTTTATAAATCAAATTAACTTTGTCCTTGAAACGTTTCAGCTACTTAGAATGAGGAAATGCATAGAATCGCCACAAGGGGGTGCTACTGATAAACCAACAACGGCCCTTCCTTGGCCACTCTGATGACTAAATAGTCCTCCAGCCTCCAGCCCAGTGCACTGTCAAGACCAACTCAGACAGTTCACAGCAGGAGAGGAGAGATTTTAAAACAGAAATATGTTCGAGAACATATATCCAGAAAACAGAGCTTCAAACAAAAACAAGTTATCAAAGGGCAAACAGAAGAGAATACCAGGCCTTTATTTTCCCTTATCCCTCATCACAGATTTAGTTATTTTAAAAAGCAATCTTTGCTGCTTTTCAAGAGAGCATTAAACTTGAAATATACTTGCTCTTCATTCTCTTTGGGGAGCAATCCACTTAAAAACAACTCCAAAGCGGAATATCCTGGGGGAGTCCTTCCTGCGGACCCCCCACCACCAACCCAGCCAGCCTCCAATTACACGACCCATCATTTCAGCTAAAAGCGCTGTCTTTTCACATTGCATCCTCAAGGGCTACGTAAAAAAAAACCAAATGCAAACAAACAAAAGTCCTTACTCCTGAATGTTTAAAATGCAAATCGAGTTTTGAAAGTCTAAGTCTTTGTTGTGCTCAGAATTACTGCCACTTTTTTTTAACTTCCCTGAAGTGAAGTCACCAAAGAAAGAACGACTGAAACTGTAGTACTAAAAGTTATTCACGGTTTTATTATTGAGCTTAAGAAGCTTTTCCGGTGAATGGCAATACAAAAACAAAGGTTCTCTCACAGCCCTGGGTTTTTGTCTTTTCAATGAAAACATATTCAATTAGTAAGACCCACAATACCTTGAGAGTCAATTATTTTTCAATAATTGTTTTTCATAGTGAGTCACAAAAGTTGTTTTCTTCCATCTTGCTAGCCTAACCTGCTATGCCCAAACCAACTACAATTTAGCTATTTTGGGTACTTCATTTCTTTTCTTGCTGCTCTAAACTTTAATGGACAAAATGTTAATTAAATAAGAATAAAGTAAAATGCATGACAGGGCCTAGCATGTACTAGAAGCAAAATGATTGTTAGTTCTTCCCGGTACTCCCAACAGGCATCCTTTTTTGTGTGGAGGAATACCTTTTCTTTCGCCTACACATAAGAACTTTATCCATAGATGATGTTACCTAACTGTCTACTTGCTGTGATGGAGAATTCTGGAAGGTTCTCCCATCCAAGGATGTCTTATCGCACTGATGCCTGCCATTCTCTCTTGGACAGTTCCTTTTATGTGTTGCACTGTGTGAGGCACTGAGGGGCTGCCAATGGCGGATAAAGCACGGTCCTTAACTACAACAGCGTAAATAAATCCTGAGCCTGTGAAACACTGAACCTATGCATAAAGAGTATGTGATCAAATAGGAAATTTAGTGGCACAAAGTGATTGCACGGTAGCACAGCCTGGAAAGGATGCAGGCTTGATAGTGAGACTGATGTTGTAAATTGAGTAGCACCCCCCAGAAAGGTATGTTCAAGTCCTAACTTCCATGGCTCGTGAGTGTGACATTACTTGGAAATAGGGTCTTTGCAGATGTAATTAAGGATCTCGAGAATGAGATCACTCTGGGTTTAGAGTGGGCCCTAAATTCATTCCTTATAAACGAAAGGAGAAGGAGATTAAGCATAGATCGTCACAGAGGGAGACCTCTGTGAACACAGACGCAGAGATGGGTGTGAATCAGCTACAAGGCCAGGAATGCTGAGGCTTGCTGGCAGCCACCAGAAGCTGTTCCAAGAGGGAGAAGCGTGGAACAGATTCTCTCACTGAGCCACCAGATGGAACCAGCCCTGCCAACACCTTGATTTCAGACTTCTGGCCTCCAGCACCGTGAGATGATAAATCTGCTGTGTGAAGCCACCTGGACTGTAGTGATTTGTTACCACAGCCTAAGGACACTAACATAAGTGACCTGGGTTCAAATCAATGCATCCCCAGCCTGTGGCCCAGGGCATCAAACTTTGAATGTCCTCCTCTGTAAACTAGAGTTCCTAGTAGATACGTCGCAGATAAATCGAAAAACAGTCAAGACTGCCGTGATCCCCTCTTCACCCCTTACAGCTTCTTTGACCAAGGGCATGAAACTTAACACCTTGTGTCTCAGTTTCCACATCCATAAAATGGAGATGAAAATAGCAGCTACCTCGTAGACTGGCATGAGAAGTACAGGAGATGCTGCCCAGAGACCACAGAGGCGGGGCACATGAGGCCCTCGGCCCATGCAAGCTGCCTGTGCTGACCTGTTGTCATGGTGACCGCCATGGGAACTGAACTGACCGGAAGACCAGTAAGGTTTGGGATGAGCAGGAAGCTTCCGTAGGAGGAAAAACCTGAAGTGGACCTTGAAGCAATGGTTCCATTTGGATGGGTCACAGAGAGGGATCGGCATCTGGGGCGGGGTTGGCTCAGGAACCTAAGAAAGGAGTGGGACACACTGTGTGCGTGCATGCGCGGACCTCTCCACGTAAGCAGAGGGCCGGAGAGCCTGGTGAGCTGAATTAAGAAGAAGGCTGGACAGCTGGACTGAAATTAAATTCGCTAGAAACCCCACAGCGAGTTTAGAACATGGGATATGGTTTGGCTGTGTCCCCACCAAAATCTCACCTTGAATTGTAATCCCCATAATCCCCGGGTGTCAAAGAAGGCCCCTGTGGGAGGTAATTGAATCATGGGGGTGCTGTTTTCATGGTAGTGAGTGAGGTCTGATGGTTTTATAAGCACCTGGCATTTCCCCTGCTGGCACTCATCCTCTCCTGCGGCCCTGTGAAGAGGTGCCTTCTGCCATGATTGTAAGTTTCCTGAGGCCTCCCCAGCCCCGCGGCACTGAGTCAATTAAACCTCTTTTCTTTATAAATTACCCAGTCTCAGGTATTTCTTCCTAGCAGCGTGAGAACAGACTAATACAACATGATACAATGGAAGACGAGAAGACATTAAAATCGTTGCGTAAGGGAATAATTCACAAGACAAGGATGTTTAGGAAGGATTAACCCAGGAGGACTGAGTAAAGCTGTGCTGCTCAAACCTTCTGTGCTGAAGGGCGAGTTTTCTTCCAATCCATCACTGACCAGTGCTGCTGGAACAGACGGTAGAAATAAATTGCTAGAACATGAAATGGAAACAAGACATCAACTACAAAAATACAAGCCAAATTTTTTACTCTTAGATCCAAACATACATAACGTTGCTCTAATTGTCATAAACATTTTTGAACTCTTATCCCAATTTCTGCCTGATCCTCACAGGGCCACAAGGAGCCACTGGTCTGAAGACAATCCATGGCGGGGTGCTTCTGAAGAGGAGAGGGTGAGCCTAGCAGGGAGGGAAGAGGAGGAGAGGAGCAGAGAAGGCGCCCAGGAGGCCACCGCCATCATCAGGGAAGCAGAAGACAAAGGTGGTGAAATGCAGATGGCGGAGAGAGCCACACGTAAGGTATTTTGAAATGTAAATTGATGGTGAGGACAGTGGGCTATAGCTAAATAAGGAGCAGCTGATCCCCAATAAAATGTGATGTTAATAAAATGGCGTTGTTTATAGAAATGGGAAGAACAGGAGAAAGGTGCCCCAAATGGGAGAAATAACCGCATACTTAGAGTGAACACACCTCAAATACTGTATCTTCTGGACTCCGGGGTCTTACAACGTCGGGTTGCATTTCCACCCCCGCCCCACAATTGACAGAGAACAAGAAATTACTTTGCTAAATATTGCCTTTGTGACTAGAATTATAGACTGAAAATATCAACACTACTAAATTACAGTAAATTTTGTGGGCTGAAAATAAATACTGTCATGATAGAGAAAGTATTACAAGAAAAACTCTTGGCATATGTGTTTTACAACTTCCTAGGTAATTCCGACGTGCACCTCAGCTTAAAAAGTCACTGCATTACTTTGATGAATATTAGGTAAGAGTAAAAAGGTAGTGGTCAAACGGATATAACTTATTTTAATGTACATATGTAAATCGATATTCCAAAAAGATAACAATCTTTGTAAATTAGCAAACTAAGAAATGCAAATAAGTCAATCCATACCTCTCTATGGATACAAAAAAAAAAAAAAAAAAACTCTCTTGCTTAAAAAAAAAAAAAAAGTGAGGAAGTCTCCTGGCCACAGGGGGTCAGTATTGCTTCAAAACAAAAATTACCCCAAATCTCTGGGGGCATAATGGTCTTTTAAAACATGATTATATTTTCTTCTTAAAAAAAAAAAAAGGTTAGTTTTTGATATATCTGATTTCTAGGCTTTACTGAGTGACAGATGGTTATAGCATGTGAAAAAATATCAACTTGTTAAAAAATCAACTTGTTAAAAATGTGTATTTCATGCAAAATTGAACTTGGAGCCTCCTCATTTAAAAGCAATCCTAGAAATTAAGAGAAGGGAGAAAATTATATATATGTCAGAGAGGATGCATGTGTTCAATTCAACACAGAACTCAGTGCCAAGGAAAAATGAGAACCATGTCTTCAATTTCTCACTTTGTAACTGAAGAGGTCAGATACACACTCATGACATCTTTTGGTAAAAATACAAAAATGAAAAATAAATGCTGTACTGTAGACAGTGATGGTAGAGAATATTATTGACTGAATCGTTGCAACGTCCTCATAAGATTGAGAGAAATGAGGGGTAAAGACGTGGCAGAGGGAAGGAGAGAACACCGTGAACATACGGGTGAAAAATTATAAGTAGCCTGTTGAGAAGATCTTGTGGGGATGATTGGACCAACATTTGGGCATGTTGTGTAAGACAGAATCACACACATTGCCCAAGTTCCAGTTTTATTTGAAACATTCTGATATTCATTCATTCATTGCTCTAGACAAAGTGATGGACAAAAACAAAGCGCAGCCATCATGGAGCTGTGTTAAGTGAGCAAACAAATTCCTGGATATGCAATTCTCTACCTTGTGATAAAGGCTCTGAAAGAACAGGGCTAAGTGACCAGAGAAGGCTTCTTCAAAGAAATGCCATTTCACCTGAGACCTGAGGACGTTCAGGCCAAGAGATGGGGATCAGACTGCAGGTCCTGAAATCCCAAGGCCAGCGTGACTGATGCACAGTGAATTAGAGGGAGAGAGAATTCTGGGTCTCAAGGAGTTTTGATATTATCCTAAATGCAATGGGAAACCACTGGATGAAATTGGAATTATGTGATCCAATTTTCACACTTTTTAAAAAGTATTTTGGGCCAGGCACAGTGACTCATGCCTGTAATCCCAGCACTTTGGGAGGCCAAGGTGGGCAGACCACATGAGGTCAGGAGTTCAAGACCAGTCTGGCCAACATGGTAAAACCCTATCTCCACTAAAAATACAAAATTAGTTGGGCGTGGTGGCGGGCACCTGTAGTCCCAGCTACTCGGGAGGCTGAGGCAGGAGAGTCACTTGAACCAGGGAGGCGGAGGTTGTAGTGAGCCAAGATCTCACCACTGCACTCTAGCCTGGGTGACAGAGCAAGACTCCAACTCAAATAAATTAATTAATTAAATTTAAAAGTATTTTGGCTGCTGTGTAAGTGAATGGGAAGGGGATTCAGCAAGAATGGAAATGGAGAAACGTACATGTGCTTAGTAGTGTGGTTGTCCAGGAAGATGATGCCTGGGAAGAAGAAAGCAAACAGATTCCTGGCATTTAGAAGCAGAACCAGAAAGTCTTATTGGTAGGACAGATGAGAGAAGTCATATTTTTGTTCACCCCATATAAGTGTATGCATTTCTGCTTCCACTGCTGAAACCTATAGAAATATTAACCTTTCCTCTTAGAAGTAAAATTATTAAATGATCAGTTTATACAAAGAAGTATCAAATAATAAATCAGTGATTGTGTTGATTTATGTACATAAAATAATATCAATTAAATGCTATGACTTTTTAATGATAATGGAAACAAAATTATATTCAGCCAAATGCTTTTAGAATTAAAGTTTAATAAAGAAAAGATTAAAAGTGAGTATTCCTTTGATATTCTGATTTTATATCCATTGTTCAAAGTCTCTGTTGATTTTTTTCTCTTAGAAATATTCACAGAAAATGAATATATTGAGTTCAAAAATATTCACCTTGAAATCTATAAATTAAAGTCAAATTTCATTTCCATCCTACAAGAGCATTTTCAACAACATGCAGGCACTGTGATAAGAGTATCCACCTCAGCCAGCTGACTACCAGGGGAGATGATGTGTCTGTGGATGCTTCTAAATCTTATCTAAAGTACAAGAACTAAGATGCTTCACGTGGGCAAAGCTAGTCTCCTAAATTAGTTCTGGACTTTCTAGTGAAAATGGAGGTTACCTGGGCAAGCTGGGTTTCACTAAGCAGAACAAGATTGTCAACTCTTACGCCTGGAATCTTCTTTGAATAGATTTCTTTCCTTTTTTTATTTTTCTTTTTTTTTTTTTTTTTTTTGAGACGGAGTGTCCCTGTGTTGCCCAGTGCAGTGGCACAATCTCGGCTCGCTGCAACCTCCATCTCCTGGGTTCAGGCGATTCTCTTGCATCAGCCTCCCAAGTAGCTGGGACCACAGGCATGGGCCATGACGCCCAGCTAATTTTTGTATTTTTAGTAGAGATGGGGTTTCACCATGTTGACCAGGCTGGTTTTGAACTCCTGGCCTCAAGCAATCCACCTGCCTCAGCCTCCCAAAGTGCTGAGATTACAGGCGTGAGTCACTCCTACCCAGCCAGTTTTTGTATTTTTAATACAGACAGGGTTTCACCATGTTGGCCAGGCTGGTCTCAAACTCCTGACCTCAGGTGATCTGCCCACCTCAGCCTCCCAAAGTGCTGTGAATACAGGTGTGAGCCACCATGCTCAGCCAAGTGAATAGAATTTTTTTTTTTTTTTTTTTTTTTTGAGACAGAGTCTCGCTGTCACCCAGGCTGGAGTGCAGTGGCAATCTCGGCTCACTACAACCTCCGCCTCCCAGGTTCAAGCGATCCTCCTGCCTCAATCTCTCGAGTAGCTGGGACTACAGGTGCGTGTCACTACACCCGGCTAATGTTTTTGTATTTTTTTAGTAGAGACGAGGTTTTACCGTGTTAGCCAGGATGGTCTCAATCTCCTGACCTCATGATCCACCTGCCTCGGCCTCCCAAAGTGCTGGGATTACAGGCATGAGCCACCACGTCCGGCCCAAGTGAACAGAGTTCCAAAGGTGTTCCTGGCAGGTGCCAGGTGGAGACTTCAATGTGTGGGGGTTTGGGGCACTTTTAAACTATAGAACATAATGATAATAAGGCAATTAACTATAATGACTGTAATTTTCCTGTAGAAGAGTTGAGCACAGAAAGCAAACAAGGCACTGAGCAGTCTCTGTTGAATGCCAGGGATACATTTAGAACCACACTACCTTTAAGCTTGGTTCGCATAACACTTACCTGGATCTGGTCCCATAAGACTCCCTCTTATGCCCATACGTTGTACACTGCCTTGTCCACATCACTGTCTCTATTCTAAGGAACAGCCCAATAGTTCTTCACTCTTCTCGTTCATGATTGTTACAGGAGCAAACTGGGATAATGGTTGTAAAGTGCTTGAAAAGATGAAAAGTGCAACAGAAATGCAAGACGTTATAATTAATTATAAGTTTTTTATGATTTATCTGTTACATTTTATCATGGTTATCAACCTTATTATCTAAGTAAAGAGTAGGTATATAATTATAATTTTATATTATGTAACAGTACAGATTGTTTATTCTTAGTCCTCAACAAAGAAATGAATACTAAAATCTCCTTAAGAGATTTTTTCTTAACTATAGCTATTTTGCCTTTATCCCAAATCCTTAAATCTGACTTTCTAAGGGTGGGATAGAGGCATATGTGTTTTTACAACTCCCTAGGTAATTCCGATGTTCACCTTAGCTTTAAAAAATCACCGCATTACTTTGGTGAATATTAGGTAAGAGTACAAAGGTAGTGGTTAAATGGATATGACTTATTTTAATGTGCACATATAAATTGATATTCTAAAAAGATACTCTTTCTAAATTAGCAAGCTAAGAAATGCACATGATATCAATTAATCTATACCTCTCTATGGATTAAAAAAAAAAAAAAAGCTGTGCCATATAGATTGTGCTTCTCTGCTTCTCCTGTCACTCACAACTATAGTATCTCTGTATCTCTGTTTCCCCCCTAAAAGGGGAACTCTCCAGAAGGCATCTCACAGGTAATCAAAGCACATTCCCATCTACCAGTGTGGCAACTTCTGTATTTCTGCCCCTTTCCAATGCCTCTGCTGTGTGTGAGTGCTCCTGGCTGCCACTAGCACCGTCACCCATCCATGCCAATTAAGATCCCAATGCCAGTGCTGCAGGGCACTGAGTCCTCGCTTGGAGCCAAAGCCGCTGCACTGCACTGGCCCCAAGGTCACTGAGATCTGTGTGCTGTCCCCTGAGTGCACACAGCGCTGCGATATCCTGTGTTATGCAGTGACGTGGAGAGAATCCCTCCCCCCGCCACTGCCACACACACGCGCCCCCCCGTCTAGGCTTCACTTCTGTGTTGGTTTCCCAAAAGTGCTTCTTTACACTCCCAGTGCCTCTCCAAGATTTTTATAAAATTAGCTGTATCTGTTTTTAGTCCCCAGACTTGAAAACCTCATGTGAAGGATGGGTGTGTAGACAGAGGGAGAAGATCTGAGGCTAAGAGGGTGAGAAGAGCTGAGACAGAGGGCTGAGGGACAGCTGACATCTGGAGCGTTTCTGTCCTGCCTCGTTTGGCTCAGTCTGCTCCTCCCTTTTGTCAGGAGCTGCTCCTTAGAAAGGGCTGCTCCCTGGGTCTGGCAGAAATGCTTGAGTTCTAGTGTGACCACAACATGAGTTTAGGCTGTGACCCTGTTAGGAAAGGGGTCTCAATCCAGACCCCAAGAGAGGGTGCTTGGATCTCTCACAAGAAAGAATTCAGGATGAGTCCATAGAGTAAAGTGAAAGCAAGTTTATTAAGAAAGTAGAGGAATAAAAAATGGCTACTCTATAGACAGAGCAGCCCTAAAGGCTGCTGGTTGCCCCATTTTTATGGTTATTTTTGATGATATGCTAAACGAGGGATGGATTATTCATGCCTCCCCTTTTTAGACCATGTAGGGTAACTTCCTGACATTGCCGTGGCATTTGTAAACTCTCATGGCGCTGGTGGGAGTGTAGCATTGAGGACGACCAGAGGTCACGCTCGTGGCCGTTTTGGTTTTGGTGGGTTTTGTCCGGCTTCTTCACTGCAACCTGTTTAATCAGCAAGGTCTTTATGATCTGTGTCTTGTGCCAACCCTCTATCTCATCCTGTGACTTAGAATGCCTTCATCATCTGGGAATGCAGCCCAGTAGGTCTCAGCTTAATTTTACCCAGCTCCTATTCAAGATGGAGTTGCTCTGGTTCACACACCTTTGACAAACCTACCCTTGCAGATGTCATGTTCAGCGTCCCTGATTTGCCGTGGGAGAGAAATCTGACAGGCCAGTAATATCATAAGAAAAAGTATGGGAAAACCTGTTTTATTTACAATTAAGCATATAATTTAGCCCTTATATACAAAGAAATGTTCCAATATTTATCTTTCAGTTTTCATAAACGTGATAAATCTATACTGGCATTCTTTTCCCCTTCTTCTTCTACCCAACGACAACTTTGTTACGGACTCAAAAAATTCTGACCACTATGTAGGTCTATTAACAAAGTATGGGCCGGGCATGGTGGCTCACATCTATAATCCTAGCACTTTGGGAGGCTGAGGCAGGTGAATCACCTGAGGTTAGGAGTTCGAGACCAGCTTGATCAACATGGAGAAACTCCAACTCTACTGAAAAACAAAATTAGCCAGCCATGGTGGCGCATGCCTGTAATCCCAGCTACTGGGAGGCTGAGGCAGAAGAATCACTTGAACCCGGGAGGCGGAGGTTGTGGTGAGCCAATATCACACCACTGCACTCCAGCCTGGGCAACAAGAACAAAACTCTACCTCAAAAAAAAAAGACAAAAGTGTGTCAGGCCGGGCTCATGCCTGTAATCCCAGTACTTTGGGAGACTGAGGCGGGCAGATCATGAGGTCAGGAGATCAAGACCATCCTGGCTAAAACAGTGAAACCGTCTCTAATAAAAATACAAAAACTTAGCCAGGTATGATGGCATGTGCCTGTGGTCTCTGCTACTTAGGAGGCTGAGGCAGGAGAATGGCGTGAACCTGGGAGGTGGAGGTTGCAGTGAGCCAAGATTGCACCGCTGCACTCCAGCCCTCCAGCCTGGGTGACAGAGTGAGACTCTGTCAGAAAAAAAAAAAAAAAAGAAGGAAAGGAGGGGAGGGAGGGAAGGAAAGGAAAGAAAAGAAAAGAGAAAATAAAAGAGAAAAGAAAAGAAAAGAAGTCAATAAAGCCTTCTTTGTCAAAGTTGATCTTTCCCGAGGTGCCATGTCTCCTGGCTCTGTAGTATAGTAGGCACCCATATCAGACATTATTGGTCAAGTACCATCTGTACTTATTCCTGATCTCTGTGGGACAGGCAAACTCTGGGCTAACATCTCATGAATGAATGCAGAGTTGGGGAGTGTAGGGCTCCCAGTTGCAGCTAAGCATCAGAAATGCCTCTGACCATGATGCAGATCTGACTGTCCCAAAAGCTCTCCATTGGGCTTACCCCATTAGGTAACTGGTGTCATTTCCCAGGCTGTGACATGTATGCAAGCATACATCTTAATTTAGGGAGAAGGGAAAGAGAACTATAAATTGGTCTGGTAACTCCCCCATCTGGCTACAAGTCAGAGAAGATGCAAGCGTGATCTCAGTTTACAAAAAAACATATTTTGAGATAATTTCAGACTTACAGAAAAGTTGCAAAAAAAAGTACCATGAATACCCATACAGACTTCAAGTGGATTCCTAAATATGGACATTTTATCATGTTTGCTCCATCATTCTCTCTGTGTCTTAATGGGTTTTTTTCTGAACAGTCAAGGAGTAAGTTGCAGACATAATGCTTTCCTATTCCTAAATATTTCTGTCTTACTAACCACAGTACAATCATCAAAATCAGAAGTTAGCATTGATATACTACTATTACCTAGCCTGTAGATCTTATGCCAATTGTCCCACAAATGTCCTGTGTAGCAAAAGGAAGAAAATACAGTGTTTTAAGGCTTTTGAGTGGGATCACAATGGCTCTGAGACCTTGTCCAGTAACAGGGACCACGAGAACTGCTAGGACCCAGTCTGCCACAGTCCTGATCTAAAATACCCTTTGGTCTTAAGGATGTGGACATCTGCTGACCTTTTCTAAACTAAAGAGAGAAATTGAGGACACAGAATGTTGGTTATATGCCTTTTATTTTTTTCTCTGTTTCTCTTTTGACCAACATATTTTAACACAGCAACTCCTCACAGACTGCCTGATATACCCAAGGCACTATCTTTAGTTCTGGGGGATAGAGAGTTATATAAGATGTGGTCCCAATACTCCTGTGAATCAAAATGTTATTAAATAATCAGTAACTAAACAGAAATGAAATAGTAATGTTAGGAATGATAAATTCCTCTTCAAAAGGTTTAATTGTGTAATGTTCTTGTTCTTTGTTCAAAAGCCCAACCTCCTTGTACTCTCTTGTTTCTAGCCTGCAAACCCACTCTTGTTGCACCCTGACATGCCCAGACATGTCCAGACATGCCTTTTACTATAATGGACAGACTACTCCTACCCCCTCCTTTCTTACAAATCACATGCTTACCCTATTTAGAAAAGTTTAAGTCTTAGCCTACTGGGATCAGTTTAGATTGTGCACTCCAACCCTAGCCTATAAGGGAATGACACAGGGACAGGAACTGTGTTAGGGTTAAAAATCCCTTCCTTTGTTCAGTATGCTCTTGTGGTCAGGACAGATGTGAGCAGCACCCTTCTGCAGAAATAAATGTGCCTTGCTGAGAAATTCTCTAAGTGCTGGTTTTTCCTTGTGGCACTGAGCACTTGTTTCTAACAGTAGTAATGTTAACGGTGGCAGAGAACCGAGTTACACCAAGTTGCCAGCAGTGAATCCCTACAGGTCCTCAGCAACTTCAGCCCTTGCCTCCTCAGAAGAAGGAAATTGGCTGAGAGGCATAAGGCAGAAAAAAAGACTGAGGCAATTTTCAGAGCAGGAGTGGACATTTATTTTAAAAGGCTTTACGAATGATACAGTGGACTTTGGGGACCAGGGCAGGGGGAAGGGTGGAAAGGGAGCAAGGGATAAAAGACTACAACCTGGGTGTAGTGTACACTGCTTGGGTGATGGGTGTACCAAAATCTCACAAATAACCACTATAAAACTTACTCATGTAACCAAATCCCACCTGTTCCCCAAAAACCTATAGATATAAAAATGTTAAAAAAAATAAAAGAAAAGAAAAGAAAAGCAAGAAGACAAAGAATAATAACTATGCTGAAAAGAAATCTATGAGAAATGAATTTCAGGTTTTCTGGAAAGTTCTGACTGAATGACTCCACTATATTATTAGAGTGGTTTATTATATAGTTCAAGACTATGTAATTATATAATATTCCAAATTGTCACCAA